CTGCTGACCCCTTTCTCACCTCTGAATGGCAGCAGAACTAACTGGTGTATCAAATACTCATCCAAGTTCTACATCACCCACAGGCTTGTTGAGAGCACACTCTGTCCTGCTGTCCAGGTTATGAATGAAGACCACTGAACAGTACTGGCCCCCATATTCATCCCTGGTGTACTCCACTGATGACTGGCCTCCAGCTGGACTCTGTGCTACTGTACCACAACCCTGTGAGCCCATCAGTTCAGCCAGGTTTCAGTCCACTTCACTGCCCTCTTATCTCACCTGTATTTCATCAGTTTGCCTGAGGATGTTATGAGAGACAGTGTAAAAAGCTGTACTAATGTCAAACCAAACAACATCACTTCTTTCCCCTCACCCACCAAGATAGTCATCTGCCTCACCATAGCAGGATATCAGGTTAGTCAAGATTTCCACTTCATAGATTTGTGCTGACTACCCCCATCACTTTATTGTTCTTTGCATGTTTGAAAATTATTTCTAGGAGGACTTGTTTCATGACCGTCCCAGAGATGTAGTTTCCCAATCTCCCTTCTTTCCTCTCCTGAAGATAGGAATGACATCTGCCTTCTTCCAGTCCTCGGGAACCTTTCTTGATTGCAATGACCTTTCAGACATAGTCAAGAGTGGCCTCACAACAACACCAGCCAACTCCTTCAAAACTTGTGGGTGTATAACACCATGTACTTGGACTTGTGCATGTCCAGTTAATTCAAATGTTCCCTGGCCTGAGTTACGCTTCTGTTGCTCCAGATGTTCACACTGATCTCAGCAGCCTGGGACTGCTGAAAGTTAAGTCTTACTAGTGAAGAACTGAGGCAATGCAAGCACTGGACACCTTGACCTTTTCTGTGTTTTCTGTTTCCAGGTCCCTATTCCCATGAAGCAGCAGGCCCACACTTTCCTTAGCCTTCCTTTTGCTGATATTCCTGTAGAAGCCCTTCTTGTTACCCTTCTCAGTTCCATCCTTTCTCAGATTCGACTCCTGTCTTCTCCTGAAGTCCAGGGTTGCAATCCTGCAATTTGCCTTGTCCCCTCCTCTCCTCTCAGGACCCTGAACTTCACCATCTCATGGTCACTGCAACCAAAGCTGTCCCTGATCCTCACATGCTCAACAGGTTCCTCTTCCTTGCTTGTAAGTGTGAGGTCTAGACATAACATCTCCCTTCATCAGCTCCTCAAAAATCTGTGTTAGGAAATTGCTACCAAAGCACTTCAGAAACCACCTGGACTGCCTGTGCCCTGCTGTGTTGCCCTCCAAACTTTTATCAGGATGGTTAAATCCCTCCATGAGGACCAGGGCCTGAAAACGTGAGTCTTCTTCCAGGTATCTGAAGAAGACCTTGTCTAATTCTCCATGACCAGGTGGCCTGTAGCTAACACCACCACCAAAGTTGGCTGTGATGGTTTGCCCTCTAAACCTGACCCATAAACTCTCAGCTTCCTCATGTCCCAGGACAAAGCTCTATGCAGTTCAGCTGCTCTTTCACATAAATTGCAATTCTTGTCTGTCCTTGTTTGTCCCTCCTGAAGACCTTGTGTTTGCCTGCTGCAGCACGTGAACTAACTCACCACATCCCCGTGACCCCTATGAGATTGTAGACCTGTAAATGACTATGATATTTAATTCCCCTTATGACCTTTAATTCCTCTTATTTGTTCCCTATGTAGCACACATTAGCACACAGGCACTTCAGAGAGGCACCCAGTCACACTGATTTCCCAGAAAGTGCATGGGAGTGTTCCACGTAAAGCTGACCCACAGGCACTTCCTTATTTGTCTGCATACACGTGAGGTAGGTGCTTTTCAGCCCTGCTTTGCTGGTTACAGGATCCCTGTTGTTCACATTAGCCTACACCCTTTTGCTGTCCACTGCCTCCCCACGTGACTGTGGGTTGCATCTCCTTCCTTTGTTGTTCCTGTCTGAAAGTCCTCCTCACCAGGCTAGCCTTGCTGTTAGTAAAGGTGCTTTTGTCCCACTTGGTCAAGTGGATTCAATCTCTTCCAAATAGTTCTCAATCCTCAGAGAGGGTCCCATGGGCACAAAACCTCAAACCTTGTCGCTGACACCAGCTGTGCAACCCATGACCCACAGGATCTGTATACTTCATCTTGGTTGGTTGTTCCAGTCACCTCTCTGTCCTGCATGTGTCAAGGAATGGCTTTTAAAAGGATTTGTTCCATGACCTTCTTAGGGACCAAGGTAAGACTGTGTAGGCTGATGTTACCTGATCCTCCTTCTTGCCCTTCCTGAAGACAGGTATGATGTTTGCCTTTCTCCAGTCCCCAGGTACCTCCACCAGTTGCCATGACCTTTCAAAGATGCTACAGAAAGGTCTCACAATTACATTTTCAGCTCCTTTGGCACCCTGAAAGGTAACCTCCCATTAACTTATGTATATTTGGCTGGGTTCGGTGATCCCCAACTCTGTTTTTCTCAATGATGGACCCTGCTGCACCCTCACAACCTCTGCTAGGAGGCTTAGAGACCTCAGAGGCTGGAAGGCAAGACACAGTAGTACAAGCTAATAAATGTATCTGCCTGAATATCTCAGCCTTTTGTGCATCACTTGTCACTAGGTCCCTGCCACAGTGAGGGCTGGACCCACAATCTCCTTCAGCTTTTCTTCTGCTGCAGCTGATCTTACAGGAACTGTCCTTGCTGCCCTCAAGCTCCCACTCTAGTTTCCAGCTCAGCTTTGGCTCTCCCTGTTCCCTTTCTACGCCACAGCCTGCTAGGCATTCTTCCCTCTGTGGAAGTCCAAATGTCAACACACTGCCCAAGCCTTATGTTTCTTGAGGCCTCCACTTATGCCTCTGCCTCTTAATTTTCCCAGCATACCAAAGGACTGAACAAAAAGAAAGAAGTGGGACCTCACCATTTTAGCTGTCCCATGTCAACATGCCCAATGTCAAAACCTAGCCAGTAGCACAGGTACCATCCCTCCCAAAGTCCAAACTGGCAGAGCTGTGACCTTACAGCTGAACATTTCATGACACACGTTAACTAAATGGCCCTCACATAATGCTACAGAAGGTTTCTAAGCCTAATTGATCCTTACTTCATCCAGACTGATTACATTACACCTAAGTATTTTTTAAGATCTTCATTTTACACACAGCATTTTCACTGCTCTTGAGGGTCCCCTTTAAGAAGACAAGGATTGTATAATTTTGGACAGTATATATTTTGCCTTCCAAATCAAAAGTACTCCTCTTCACTGGTGCTTTATTTCCTGTGCCCTCTACCAGCTTTAAAAAGTGTTAATATCCAATATCCAAAATGTCTGTTCACCTTCTCAAAAAATTCCATTCCATTAAACCCCTCCTTACAGATTAATTTATTCTAAACAAATCTTCTTTTAAGTGTTCTCATTTGAATATTAGTATCAGACAGGAGTTAATCTAATCTTCCTGATCTCAGAGGTACACAATGACATAGTATATAGCTTACTCCAAAAGCTGTGACAATAAATGAAACAACCATTTCAGGAAAGAAAAAATACAAACCCACAAGTTTGTCAGGGCACCACAATAAAAGTATCACAGCATCTACAGATACTTGCAAATGTTTATGCTTAAGATGCACTAAAGATGGTTTCTTTGAAGAAAACAGCTACTCTTGCTTTTCAGTATATCAAACAAATGTAAAGAGAGGGATCTTCTAAAGACAAACTGTAAATAAAACAAATAACTAAACAAACCCAAAACCCACAAAAATTCCATTGAAAATTTTAATAGTTTCAGACTTTCTCCTCCCACTCCCCAGACACTTGGTTGTAGCATTTATAAAAGGCAGACATCATTTTATGTGTTTACGCTACACAGCATTAGGAAGACCTTGGAAAAGATGAGCAGTGCTCTCACAGAGCTGTAACTCACATTATTACAATAAAGCTCTTGTTCTTCACAGGAACGATCACAGAAAGTGCAACAGCACAGAGTATCACTAGCTAGGTCTAATAATCTTTTAAGGCTTATAAACTTCAGTCAGAATCCTCAAAGACATTAAGTTGACTACATACATTTCTGATGTAACTTTAAAATGTTGGATAATTACAGAGGCATTTTGCATTTGGCCCTTCTCTGTTGAGCAGTAGTTTGCTGTTTTCAAAAATGAAAAAAAAAACCAACCAAATCCTCACAAAACCTATCTATTCACTTCTAAGTGCATTATTTCAACAATTACAACTGATATTAGAGGATTCTCAATTAAGCTGAGAACAAAACCTCACAAAATGCAATACCTAACAGATAAAGTATCTCAGTTTTGGGAAAGAGCAAGAAGTCTCTAGTAAGACAACCAATTCAGCAGATTACTGAGGAGCATGACAAACTCCCCCATCACTTGGAATCTTCAAATTAAAAGCGGAAGTTCCAGGCAACAGACAAATTTTAGTTTCCCACAACTAACTACCACAGAAGTTACAGAAAGTTACAGCCTCTGTTGTTAAATCATATTTAACCAGCATACTTGATCACAACTGCTGTCTTCAGCCTCAAAAACTAAGCACAATTAGATATTTGACATCCATACCAAAATACTCGTATTATTATTCAGGTTAAATCACACTTCATTCCCAGCAAGGTTCCAAATACTAGTGGCTGGAAGGAAAAATTATACAAACTAAATCATTTTACAGACAAAAGAAAGAAGTAAGAAGCTGTGTTGATTGGTTCATACCTGTTTTTCTCACTTTTTCCAAAAAGTAGCATACTGGGGGTGACATAAAAAAAGGTAAGAACATGCTAGTCTGCAACAGTGAACAAAGGGAATGAACCAGAAAAGAAACAGACTGGAAAATAAAACACATAGAAGAGCACAGTTTGCAGTCTCTTTCTACACAAAATTAAGTGATTCTTACCTGAAAATCCTCTTTTATACCTTGTAGGTTATATGCAAAGAACTTCTGATAATGTTGGAAGAGCAGAGTCAATAGAATTGAGATGGCACTTGGGACTAATAAAAGACTCTTTGACAAAGGTGCTTTATCTTAAAGACAAAAAAAAAAAAAAGCCATTTTAGAGAAGTCTCTCACATTTAAAAAGTCACCGATTTCTTCAGGTGATTGGAAAACATAATAGCAGTGGCACTGCCTTGATTTTTTATCTCAACAGCTTCCCAAATTCTTAACAACTTGCCAACACATAGGAAAAACCCATCAATCAAAAGGAAATGTTTAGAGACGTTAATGACAGCTAGATATTAATCACACGTTTTCTGATGTTCACCATGTGAAGAAAACATCTTTTCCTATTTGTATCATAACATAAATTTGTACTTAAAACTCTTTTTACAGTCCACAGTTATAGCTTTGAGTTCATTATTTACAGACTCACTTTCCTTACTCCATTTAAGTAATTAATGCGTTGAAGAATTATCCTTTTATAGAAATTAAGCAGTGATTTGGACTGACACAGTTTGATGTTACTCTGCTAACCATAAGCTCTACTCTTATGATTAGATTTTTTGTTTGAAACACATCAGGAGACCAAACGGTTGATTTTTTTTTTTTTTTTTAGTCCAAGAAAACAATCCATCTTACCATTGAATATCTTTTTTTGGATTTTTTTCTCTCAAAAATAAGGTCTATAGTCTTTAGAGACTCATTTTTAAAATTAGTCATTCCTCTGATTTAGTTGGACACTTCAAAAACATTTTAAGCCATCACAGTACTGTAAAACAGTGAGGGAAAAAAGAAGTTGGAGCTGCCTGAAAGTTATTGTGCATAGACATCATCACTTGAGATCTCAGGCACTGTCCCTTATGTTTACTTAACTTACTTAAATTAATATTTCTTAGTGTGAAAAGGTCAGTTTTATAACCAGGATATAGGAACAATAGTATAATAGGAACAACAGTAGCAGCCACAACAGTAGACATTTCTGAATGTCTTCTTCTTAAAACTTCTTATTTCACTATAAAATACATTTGAGTTATTTTATGAGTTTAAATAAATTTTTACAAGAACACATTAATCCTGGAATATTTTTCACATAAGGATCACATTACCACAAAAAACATGACAAAGAAATCACTACATTTCCCACCATAACTTTATATTCCTATAGAGGTGTAATACACAGATTTAGATTTTACTGTAGTTTTCATATCATTAGTTCATTTTTACATTATAGGCAATACCCACTGGAAACACTTTATCCTATCAAGTTCTTTCCTCATTGGAATGCAATGAAAAATAACCAACCAACAGAACCTTATCTGGTTTTGCCAAAAGCGTGAACACACATTTTTTTAATGAGCCTCCTCTTAGCTTTCAGCTTAGACACTTTCAACCTTATTACAGAGGAACAGTACTTATTTTAAGCATGTCACCAAGTGAAAAACCACAGAAGTAACTAACCCTTCATGTGAGAGTTACCCCCAAGGGAACGTTAAATGACTAACGGAAACTTCAACTCCCAAACTTCTCAAAATGTCATCAGGGTTGATAAGTTTACTCTTGTCCAGTAAACTTGAGAAAGATAAACCTGGAAACAATTTGGAAATTGAAGAGAAGGAAAAACACCTCCTGAAATGTTTTTTCCAAGAGTTTACTGTAAAATGTAGTGGTTTTCTTTACCGCTCAACAGCATATAAACCCTTATCAAGGACTGCTGAGGTCACCAGTGGAGGAGAAACCCTCCCACTGCTGTGGAACGTCTCAACCAGTAAGAACAAAAGTTACTACCAATCCCAGATACTGCACAATCAGACATTCTGTCTGATGTAAAATTCCTTCCTTAGAATGTAAAAGTAAAATCCAGAAAGCAAAATGCTAGTCTGGTGGATTTGGAACCACAAGCAGTAGGGAAATTTGTGCTACCAGGTTACTAAGGTACCAGTGTCTATGGGCAGCACCAATGCAAACGTGCCCAAGGCGGAGAAAAACACAGGGCCTCTATACCATGTGAAGAATGAAAGGATAAACTCTCATTTTGACCCTGAAGAGTTAAAATACATCAAACACTATCTTCAAAGACCTTACAATAAACTTGCAACCCCAAAGTGGCCATTCTTAAGTGGCAGTTCTTTCAAACAACAGGCAGTAATAGCATTGGTGCTGCAACACACATCCTGAGCTTCCCTCTAAGTGAACATGGGAATTTTGTAACAACCAGCAGAAGACGCCCATGCTGTGATGAAGAGCAAGAACTAGCTTTCACTACAGATCTTTGCTTCCCCCTGGTGCAGTGGAGAAGTGCTCCCCAAAACTGCTCTCGAAATGTCACAGGCAAGTCCCAACCTTTATGCTACCGCTATGCAGCGCAAAGTTGATCCTAAAATATAACACAAGAAAACTGCCTCTAAATCTCCACATTCCACCCCTACAATCTATTACAAAGCCCAGAAATCCTCTTCTTCCACAACCTCCTACTCTTCTGGCTGCCAGTATCACTTCCGAAGTGCAGAGAGCTAAGGAAGAGATGTGTCTGTCTGCCACAGAGAGGGTGGTTTATGGCACAGCTGCTCAGGTAGATGTAGTTTCAGAAGCCACCACTGCCCTCGTGAGAAGAATACAAAAGCTGTGGTAGCAGCAAGGGCTACAGTTTTTCAAGTTCTTTCCTGTTCCCTGTCTGTTCACCACTCACAGGTCAAGACAGACAGCAGATGAGCATGTCAAAACAGGCAGACAGACCAAGCTACGTTTCAGAAGGGCTTTTCAAGGAACAACTTCAATCCCTGTACTGCTATACTGGGCCTGAGGCTCAAGCATCGGCTTGGGAGAGGACCTCATTGCCGATGCCAGCTGGTGAGCAGTGGCTGCAGAAGCTCAAATTAGCTCAGGACATTTTTTTGTGGGGATCCCTACTGAGCTTACACCACAGCTGCAGACAAAACACGCTGTGCAACAGCTTTTTTTTTTCCACCGTCGTCCACAGACTTCGCCACCCCAGCTGCTACGAGGCAGACACGCTGCTTTCATGCAGACATTTAACTGCTGGGGGCTACTTTAATGGCATCATATATGCACAAATCTTTTCTTACTGTTGAAAGAAGAGATCTGTGAGTCTTTTAAGCAATAACTGATGCACATCTGAATGCCCAGTACCTCCCAAATGCGCTGATGGAATCTGTGTTTTGGGTGATTTTTTTTCCTGCATTAAGCCATCATGCAGATACTTATCCTTGTATTTCAAGATCTTGTTCAAGAACTTGCAGCAGGTTCACAAACGGGCAGTGACATTTCGTAGCAGTAAGAGTTTTGAAGGACTTGCCTGCTATTTTCCCTGCAGATGCAAAGTTGCTACACATCAGACCTGCTGGAAGCATGCACACCTCCTCCTGAATGCTTGGAAACCTCGCTTATCTTTTATTGTAATGGTTGATGAAACCCACTATCAGATCTGAATAGTAATTTCTAAGTTTTTTCTAGACACCAATGTGTGCTTTTGGGAGATTGGGGCAACCTTACTTCATCTGAGGAGTAAAAGTTTGTCTTTACTATAATCATGCATCGAGTCTTGAACAGTAGCTGAGAACAAATGAGAGCATTCCATGGAGGGAGGATGACAAGAGCTACAGATACCTGTAATTCTGCTTGAGGAATCTGGAAGATACCAGGGGACTGTGTGCTGACTGGCAGGATGGTATTTAACCATACAATGATTTTCTTAGAGTTTGTTCAATCCAGTATAAATATTTTTCTAGTATTTCACCCTTTGAGAAGAAACATGCAATACGAGAGGACCTTGCAAAAGAAGTGAAGTTACTGCTTCCTGAAAAGTATGATGTGACTGAACAAAGTGTCAGGAAAGCAGCTCTTGCCTCTGGCCTAGGCACAGACAGACAGAGGAAGGGGATCCTGTGTTCAGACTGCTCCTTCACAGCGTACTCTGGTGGTTAGTCAGTGTGACACCTGCAAGTGAAATGCAGTAAGAATATCACTGCAGAACAGTTTTTCATCAAATATTTATAATATTAATGCAGAAGCTGAGACATGAATAACATTAATGTATATAGACTAAGAAAGCGAATGCAAAAACCAACTGTGATCATGTTTTAAAACTATTTTTTAAAGGTACTGGTAAGACTGTAATGAAACCAGTTATTATACATTTACTATTTAGAAGACTGTTGGTTTTAGTCTAAGTCACAAATTATAAAAGCACAAGGAGCTACGAAAAGGGGGTGAAAAAAAAAAGAGAAAACCTTTGTTTCTAAACAAAGAACAAAATTTCAAAACAGAAAATGAAACAGGTTGAAGTTTAAAAAGCTCACCCCATTGAGCAGCCTCTTCTTCCACCCAGCCACAGAGCATATAGCCATACTACCATTAGCATATGCTGTCAGAAATACCAGGCACAGCTACACCACACCACACCACAGAGACCCCCACGCTAGCTTGAAAAGAGCTAGCTCTGCAGGGACAGCAGCAGCACAACAGCCACATTTCTGTGGTGCTCAGTGCATGGCCAATTGAACTGATGTGGCCTCGCTGCTCCCAGGACTCGAGCTCATACTTTTAACCAGGTTGCACTGTGGCAGGCTGATGTGCAAACTCATTTATTTTCCCTATAGAACTATACTGTTATGCACCAAAGTCTGATATACTCAATCTATGCTTCATTCTTCCTTCAGTCACACCACAAAGCAACAAGTGACAGCCCTTTGTTACTCCCCGCCGCCCGCGCACAGCAGGGCTCAGCCTGGCGGGCTGGGCGAGCGGAGGGGCACACCCTGCCCTCCCTGCCTTGGGCAGCTGGAACAGACTGCTACCCCTGCACTGCCAGCTTCACAGAGAGCTAAAGGCACAAGCTGCTTTAACAGAAAAGTTCGCATGCAAGTTCAAAGGACTCTGCTCCCTACTACACACAAGTTCAAAGGATTCTACTCCCTACTGCTACAAGAAGTAGCTTGTGTTGGAGGCAAATCAGTCCAATATCCTCCAGACGTAGCACAAAACATGGACTTGGATTTTACCTTAATGAAGACCAGCTCCAACTACGTTGACGTGCAGTACTGCACATAGCATGAAGGCTGCTGGGAGG